CTAGTAGATTATCTAACTATTCTATTTGTCCTGTGGGCCTTTAAATCACACCTACACAAGTTACTGTGTAATTACCAAATTCTAATGTAACCCAAAAGGACTCATTAACTTTTATTAGGCTAGATTTAATGCTATCCTTAACATACAGGGCCACCCCTCCCCCTTGCTTGCCTTCCCTGTCTTTTCTATATTAAGAGTTCCCTGTATTGCTATGTCCCAGTCATTTGTTTGTTTTTTATCATACCATGTCTAAATCTACATTATCAGTTGCCATTATTGCCACAAGTTCATGGATCTTATTCCCTAAACTGTGAGCATTTGTAGACATGACTCTAAGCTTATCATTTGTTAACAAACTTGCTACAGGGACCTTCTGTCCTTGTTTTGGGGGGCAATTGGATGTTTTATCTCTCTTTTGCCCCCCCCCTCTAGTTTAAATACATCCTAGCAAAACCTCTGAACTGCTCACTGAGAACATTTGTTCCTTTTTGAGAAAGATGCAAACCATCTTTTTTGTACAGCTTATTTCCATTCCAAACAAAGCTACCATGAGAAATAAAGCCAAATCCTTGCTCCCGACCCCATTCACCAAGCCACAAGTTAAAGTCCTTATTACGCATCCGCCTGTCGTTCTGAGTGTTATGCACAGGCAGAACTTCAGAGAATGACAGTGTGGAAGCAACCTGCCGTATATTATTGGTAAAACACTAAAAACTTCCTTTACATCTGAAACCTCATTGCAAGCCAGGTAATTTGTCCCTAGATGGACAAGTACATCCAATTCCCCTTCCTGCTTTGCTCACTTAACAATATTACAAATATGTCTCCTGTCTCTGTGAGCAGTAGCTCCGGGAAGACATCTCACAAGACCACCATTGTCCATCTCCACACCTCTTATGATAGAATCCCCAAACAACAACTGTTTTCTATTACGCCTCACCATTGTCTCCAAGCCTGTCTCCACAACACCACTACACTTGGTGCCTGAGACTGTCTCCACAACACCACTACCCTCAGTGACTGAGCCTGTCTCCACAACACCACTACCCTCAGTGCCTGAGCCTGTCTACACAACACCACTACCCTCAGTGACTGTCTCCATAACACCACTACACCTGGTGCCTGAGAATGTCTCCATAACACCATTACACTCTGAAAGGGCAGAAAATGAATTGTGTAGAGCAACAGACTGTGCAATATGCCTTTTATCCACAACACAAGTCTACCAGATCCTACAGTAATCCATCTGCCATTCATAGTACGTCTCTGCGGCAGTGGCTTTGCAGCAGTTCCAGCTTGAGTTTGTTTACCAGATAATTTACAAATCTCAGACCTCAAAAATACAATCTCCTGCCGCAATGTAGAGAACTGTCTACAGATTAGACAGCATCCAAATCTCCAAAAAAGTAGAACGTGAAACAAATGCATAACAACTATTACACTGAACGAAGTCTACCATTTTAATGAGGTGAATAATAATTTAAATCAAACAAATCTTAATTTTTTTTTTATCCTGAATACCTCAGATTATCTCCAGTTTATCTTCAGAATATCTCCAAGCACACACTTTGAAGCAGCACTCTGCAGAATATCTCCAATCATACACTTAGAAGAAGCACTCTCCAGAATATCTCCAATCACACCTATTTGTGGCTTCTCATTCACTGGAAACTAATGAATGAGAAAATTTATTAAAAGTGCTTGTGTGCTTTTCCTTACTAACTTGAATGAGAAATAACTAAACTTGCATAGGTTTGATATCACTTACAGGAGAGGAATTATCAGGTATGAGCAGAGGCAATTTTAGGTTACAGAAATACCTGGGGCTTGAACTTGAATCCAATCCAATCCCAATGACCCCAACCCTTAGGCTTCACCTTACGTAGCCTCCCTGTTTCCAAAATTCTATCCCTTAAGCCGAATTAGTTAATTTCACCTAATTTCCTTTATCCAATTAATCCACCCTTTCTGTGTCTGATCCATACCCACATCATCCCATAACCCATAGAATACCCAACATTCCATTCCCACATACAGGTAACCCAAAATAAATAAATATTTAAATCCAAAATCCTAGCATTATGCTGACCATATCCCACATGTGAAGACCCAGGGCTAAAGAAGCCCATATGATATTTAGCCCCAAAATAACTACCCTTGTAAATTCATCTGGAAGTGAGTATAATTATTTTTCTATGCAACCATATTGATCTAAATTTTTTCACAATGTTCACCACAATTGTGATAGTGGAGTAAAGGACCAGCTGTTCACTACTGGTTTATGTCACGTATTCATCCGCTTATAGAAATGTGGTTAATGACATTTACTGTCCACACAGGAAAAGTTGTGCCGAGCAGCAACCTAATCCACAGAAGGTTTAATGCTGAGCAGTAATTGTGCAAATGAAACCTGGTCTCATGTATTCATCCGCTTATAGAAAAGTGGTTAATGACATTTACTGTCCACACAGGAAAAGTTGTGCCGAGCAGCAACCTAATCCACAGAAGGGTTAATGCTGAGCAGCAATTATGCAAATGAAACCTGGTAACTGACTTTGGGGTCAAAGGCCGGTTACAGCCTATCAGAAAGAAAGGAGGGGTATTTAGGCCCAGTTCTCAGCCTGCTCAGTGCCCTGTCGTGGTTTCCCTTGTGGTTGTCTGAGAGCGCGTTCCTGTTTATAGTTTTCTACCTGGTTTTTGACTTTGGCTTTGTTTATTGACTTCTCTATATTCTGGTATCCTGACTCCTGGCTTTCCTCATCGCTGTGTCCCTTTCTGTGTTCCCTGACCTCGGCTAGTATTTTTGACTATTCTTTGTACGTTAAATCCGGCCATTCTAAGGACCGGTAATACGTTACTTATTTGTCATCCATGCTGTACAGTTCTACGTGCTGGATCAAACAGTAATCCTGACAGTTTAGCAGCAATACCAACAAAGCCACATAATTTGCACTTGTTCATGTACTGGCTACTTTAGTACTTACAGTATGTCGACAAACACCATACACCCTTGAAGGATCATTAATGCCCTCTGACACCGCTACCCCTGCCTCTTAATCCTTTGGTGGTCTTCAATTTACACACAACCCAATACACTCAAAAAGTAAAGGTGGTGGTGTAGGGTTTCTGCTCTTACCTCACTGCTCCGTCAAACTTCTATCCACCACCTTTTGCTCTCTTTCTCCTCATTTGAAATTCATTCGATTTGCATTTTTAAACCCATCTCTGCTAACATTGGCGTTATTTATCGCCTCCCTGGTACCCCTCTCCTCTTGACCACCTTGCTGCCTGGCTTCCCTAAACAATATTATATAATAAGTATATCAGAAACATGCCTATTATATCATATTGTTTAGTGTGTGCTTTTGCCTCTGGTTCACCCATTTTGTTATATATTGCATTAGTAAGCATACATTTAAATGGGTACACATTATTTAGGAAGGCTAGGAAAAACAAGAAGGGTGGTGGGGTATATTTGTATATCAACCATGAGTTAAAAATCAAATCTTAGGCATGTGGAGTGTGACGAGGAAAATGTGGAAGCTTTATGGGTTTATGGGTTGCTTCGGGCAAACAAAGGGAAGTCAATTATTGGTTGGGATATGTTATAAACCACGTAATCTAAATATTAATTAAACAGCTGTTAGAGCAAATTGTGAAAGCTGCAAATCTGGGTAACACGCTAATTATTGACCTTCATGTCACAACTGGTACAAGCACCAACTAGAAAGGATGCTTGCCTGGATCTTGCTATAACAAACAATGCTGATCTTTTGACCAACATTCAAGTAGGGGAGCATTTGGGAAATAGTGATCACAATATGGTAATTTTTGAAATAAACTCAAAAAAGCAAAAGCACACGGGGTATAGGAAAACTTATAATTTTAAAAAAGTACATTTCAATAAGATTAGGGCAGCTCCATAACATATCGACTGGCATATGCTCCTTAGTGAAAAAAAAAACTGAGGATAAATGGAAACTCTTCAAACAACTATTAGAAAGGTGCATTTCTTAGTATGTACCAAAAATAGTTATTTAAAATGTTTGCCTTTTTCTGGTCTTTATCAACTAACAGACTCATCTCTGTTTCCAGTGTACCTACACTTTCATTTTTCTTTTCTTTTTTATTGATGTACTTGAAAAAACATTGGGGTTGGTTTTGCTTTCTTTGGCCATCAATTTCTCATGTTCTAGTTTAGCCACTTTCATTGCCTTTCTGCAAGCATTATTGACTTCCTTATATCTTATATAAGATGTTTTTAAATTGTGTGATTTAAATACTTTAAATGCTCTTTTCCTATTTTTAATCTCTTGTTTTACTTTCCTACTAAGCCACATTGGTTTCAATTTGTTTCCATTATATTTATTACCGTATGGTACATACTGAGAAATGTACCTTTCTAACATTTGTTGGAAGATATTTCATTTATCCTCCGTTTTTTTTTCACTAAGGAGTTTATGCCAGTCAATACGTTGTAGAGCAGCCCTAATCTTATTGAAATTGGCTTTTTAAAAATTATATGTTTTGGTATACCCCACATGCTTTTGCTTTTTCGAGTTTTTAAAATAAAATACCATATTGTGATCACTATTTCCCAAATGCTCTCCCATGGGCGCCCGCAGGGAGGGGCAAGGGGAGACACTTGCCTCCCCCTCCCCCCCTGGATTTTTCAGCTTGTGCTGATATTTTTCTTTCAGATTTAGAATACAGTGTGCCGTCCAGTAGGTGGCGCTGTTTGTGGAGAGAGGCAGGGATAGGAAGCTACATCTTATCTCTGCTTCTCTCTCCTGACTGAATCCGCAGGGAAGCAGCACATGCAGCCAGCAATTCCCAGACTGCAGAGACAGCCTACAGATCAGGAAAGTGAGGGAATGTGTTGTGGGCAGCCTACAGATTAGGTAAGTGAGGCATGAGGGGGCAGCCTACAGATCAGATAAGTAAGGGATGGGGGGGCATCCTACAGATCAGATAAATGAGGGATGGGGGTCAGCCTGCAGATCAGATAAGTGAGGGATGGGGGGAAGCCTACAGATTAAGTGAGGCATTTGGGGGGGCAGCCTTCAGATCAGGTAAGTGGGGAATGGTGGCCAGCCTACAGATCAGGTAAGTGAGGGATGGGGTCTAGGTGAAAGATCACAGGCATAGGGGGCAGCCTAAAGATCAGGTAAGTGAGGCATAGGGGACAGTCTAAAGATCAGGTAAGTGAGGGGGGCAGCCTACAGATCAGGTAAGTGAGGCATAAGGGGTCAGCCTACAGGTCAGATAAGTGAGGGGTGGGGGAGGCAGCCTACAGATCAGGTAAGTAAGGCATGGGGAGCAGCATACAGATCAGGTAAGTAAGGCATGGGGGGCAGCATACAGATCAGGTAACTGAGGCATGGGGGGCAGTCTACAGATTAGGTAAGTGGGGCATGGGGGAACAGACTATAGAACAGGTACGTGAGGGATGAGCGAAAACCTACAGATCAGGTAAGTAAGTTATAGGGGGGACAAAACAAAAAGAGAATAAAAGTAGAGCCAAATAACAGGTACACTTTAGGAAACGGGGGGTAACCCCAAATGTAACATATCAAGAAAAACAGGAAGTGTACCTACATGTTATATATCTAAAGTACAGAGCAAAATGTGGTTCAATAATGGGTATATCAATCTCAGACAATAATGCTGAGAAGGTATACTATTTTGCAAAGTATACCACTGAAATATAATCCAAAAAGGAAAAAATAAATAAATTTTATTAATAAATGTTAAAACCAAAAACATACAAGTGTACACTGGTGAAGACCACACAAAAAAAAGTGCTACAATAACTACCTATGAATAAATGTGCAAATAAAAAAATGAAAAAAATCTGAAAAAAATCTCAATCAGTGGTTTTAGTCTTATGTATCAGGACTGGAAAGCAATCACCGGGTCACTTGGTAGTTGTACCCAAAATTCAAAAGAAGTGCTGATGAATATCAGCAACTAATGCAGCTATAGCAAGTGTTCAGGGATTGTAACCAGTGTTATAAGAAATGGTTTGGATGATAATATAGAAAGATACAGAGCGGAAAGCACAGCTTTGCATATAGAGTAGGATGATGTAGGTCTCGCCAAATGCGTTAGCAACAATGTAACTGAAACTACTAATAGATGACAAGATTCAATGTGTTCATGATAAAACTTAGTGGACAGCTTCAACTACTGCAGCTATGTTAGAAGAAAGAAATCCAAAAAGTGCATACTGGCAACCAGATATTGAAACTGGCTGTGTGTTGCTGCTATAACAGTGAATGACCTCAGTGCCTGTACGGGCAACTAACAATCATCCCGCTCATACGGGGTGAGTAAGGCATAAAGGTAACCGTAAGAATAACGGTTAGGCTCAATATAGAGTAACTTTATCCTAAATTCAACTGATACATAGTGTGATGATAAACTATGAATCTGAAGATAAATAGTTAGCTGTAAAACTAGTGCCTTCGAGGGCACCTACCTATAGTCCTGCTAGAGACAGTAAAATAGATGAAAAGAAAAAGAGAGCCGTGAAAACGATAATGGAGCTCTCAAATTAACCATAGACAGAAATAGAAGGAGTGCCTATAAGCAAGCTGGAAAAATCCTATACTAACACTCCCCGTGATAAAAGCTAAAGCTGTGCTGTAAACTGTGCCTTCAAGGGCACCTGCCGCTAGTCCCACTGAAAATGAGAAATCAATGTAAGTTAACTCTATCACTAATAAGCTACCTAACTGAGTGTGCTAAAAAATCGTACGCACGCTCAAAGGATTGATTAATATGAATTAGAAGTGATAGGAATCAAATAGCATGGTTGCAGATCAAAGTACTTCACCCCCGATCATAGGGGAAGTACTGTGTAACGCCCTGACGCGCGCGTTTCGCCCGACCTGGCTCGTCAGAGGGGAACCGGTCGGTACACTTCGTCTGGTTTAAATCTGTGAAGAAATGTTTCTATTGGTTAGTCAAAAAAGTTCCTGATTGGTGCAACCTCGTTAATGTTGTGACGGAATCAAACTCGTTTCAAGGGGAGTAGATTAACCCTTACTCTGCCAAGTTCTTTGACTAAATTTAGTAGGCGATCATAATTAAAGAAAAAGAGCCATATTTGAAGAGATTAGGTGTGAAGGATATTATGAATATAGACGAGTTTCTCTAAATATTGCTGGTTAAGAGAATAAAGAGAGCAAACAATATAACTAATATAGATGAGAAACAATAAAGAAAAAATCTGATCATAAAGGAAAATATATGTGTGTATGCAAAGACACAAATGATTGGTGAGTATGTTGTTATAATGGAGAAAAGGTTATCTGTCATAATGAATAGTAGCCTAAACACTGCAAATTAGTACACCAAAGCATTAGCCTAGAGAGGATGGTAAGTACTTATGTAGGTAAAGATGACCAAAATTAAAGGCATTAAAATTATAAATATAATATTAGTAGAAAATGAGTCCATAATAGGCTGGCCATAAAGTAAAAGGACCAGAGTAGTCTGAGTTCAGTGCTAGGCCCATCGTTTGTTAATGTATGAACGGGGTAAAGTTGAACTCTTCGTTCAGACCATCAGGTGCTAATGTTTTTAAAAAAATAAATCCATCTAGACTCTTTCATTAGGAGTATTTTATTGAAGTTCCCTTTCCTAGTGTTTAGGGTTAATTTCTCCAATGCTTGGAATGTAAGATGTGTTGGATCAGCCTGATGGAAATTTCGAACATGGTTTGCTACTGGAGTCGAGATATTTAAGTTGGTAACAGAGCAAATGTGTTGTAGTATCCTTCGTTTTAATTGCTGGTAGGTTTTACCTACATATTGGATGCCACAGCTACATGTAATTAAATAGATCACCCGAGTAGAGCTACAGTTGATAAATTCCTTAATTTTGTATTCTTTTTTTGTTATAAAGCTTGTTATCATTTTGGTGGGTTTAATGAATTTACATGCCTTGCAATGCCCGCAGCGATAAATCCCAGTAGTCTGGGTTAACCAAGTGGATTGGGATGGTTTCATAGGTTCAATATGACTATGAACCAAGATGTCTCTCAGGTTTTTTGCCCTACGTGCCGTGATTTGAGGAAAATTCCCAATATTATCAGCAAGATCTATGTCATGCTGAAGTATTGGCCAGTTGTGTGTCATTATTTTTTGTACTTTGTCCCAATATAAATCATACGTGCCTACACAGCGAGTTATTTTCGTTTCTGACTTAGGTCTACTCGACCTTAAGCTTTCACTTCTATTTATTAGTAGTGCTCGTTGGTAGGCTCGTTTAAGGATTCTATTTGGGTAGCCTTTCTGTTTAAACATAGTTCTTAATTTGTTGGCTTCCCTTTGGAAAGATGTTTCAGTGGAACAATTGCGCCTGGCGCGCAAATACTGGCCAAAGGGTATACCTGACTTTAACTTAACTGGATGATAACTAGTCCAGTTAAGTAGACTGTTGGTTGCTGTATCTTTCCTGAAAAGTTCAGTTTCTACCTTCCCATCTTCCAAAACTGTGATGTTGAGATCTAGAAATACCAGGTGTTCAGAGTCTATCACATGTGTGAGTTGTAGGCCAATGGTATTATTGTTTAGATCTCTAACCAGTTTTTGGAATTTATCGACAGATCCTAACCAAAAGACCAGTATGTCATCAATGTATCTATGCCAGCTATAGATACAAGTGTCATACTGGTCTTTGGTGATAGCTGGCAAAATGGTCTCCTCCCACCAGCCCAAGTATAGGTTGGCGTAGCTGGGAGCACACGCCGTACCCATCGCGGTCCCTTTGAGTTGTAGATAATATTGTCCATTAAAGACAAAAAAGTTATGAGTGAGTACAAATTCCAAAAGTTTGACAATAAAATTGATTTGTGCTGCTGAAAAGCCTGGTGTTTTATTGAGAAAGTACGACGTGGCTAAAAGACCTATATTATGAGGAATATTGTTGTAGAGAGCTACAACGTCTAAGCTACCCAACATACAATAGGGAGGGACCACTAAGTCCTCAAGTAGTAACAATGTTTGTTTGGTATCTTGAAGATAGGATTTTAGTTTAATAACCAAAGGATGTAATAATTTCTCTAGAAATTGACTGCTTCTCTCAGTAATGGAGCCATTCCCTGAAATAATTGGTCTGCCCGGAGGTTTAATTGGATTCTTATGAATTTTGGGAAGGCAATAGAAGGTGGCAATTGTTGGAGTCATATTAGGGATAATGAATTTATATTCTTCCCTAGTAATGATACCATCCAATTCTGCTGTATCCAAAATACTTTTTAATTCAATCAAAAATTCTGTGGTAGGGTCCTTTGGAAGGTGACTGTAATGTTGTTCATCTTGGAGATGTTCCATGCACATCTCAATGTAATTACTTTTATCCAAAAGGACCACATTACCACCTTTATCAGACGCCTTGATTACCAAATTTGGTTCATGGCTAAGTTCTGTCAAAGCTCTTCTCTCCGCTGTGGTTAAATTATCCTCACATCTAGTAGGAGTCTCTAGGGATTCAATTTCATTAGTGGTCATTTTTATAAATAGGTCTACACTTGAGACTTCCTTGAGGTTAGGGGTGAACCAACTTTCTGGCTTAAGATTAGTGAGTGGTTGAGCCAAATCCTGTTCATTTAGTAAGGATAATAATGTTTGATAATGCTGATAATCAATGTTTGAAAAACCAGCTTCTTTGGCCAGTTTTTGATTTTTTCTCTTGTGTACCACATTCAAAGCCAGTTTTCTACCAAATAGATTTGTATCTTTTATCCAGTCAAATTTGTTGGGATTAGGGGTAGGTACAAAAGACAGACCTTTGTTAAGAAGTGAAAGGTGATGAGTTTTAAGTGTGAATGTCGACAAATGTATTATTCGATTAGCATCACTCGTTGTTAGGTCAGGTTGATTCTTTTGTCTGGTTTGTATCCCCATTTTTTCCGATCCCTTAGTCTGCCACCTGATGGAAGTGGCCAATCCTCCTCTAAAAAAGGAGATGAGGAAGATTTTTCTACCCTCTCTGTTTGTTTAGTGGTATCGTGGTTCCCAGATTCTGAATTAGCTGGAAAGGTCACACCTCTATTAGGCTTTTTAAGGATGCTTCTACCCCTAGTCTGATCTGAATAGTCTCTAGTTCTCCGGTTACTATTTGATCTGGATGAGCCCGAATCGGAGTCCATCCAGTCTGTGTTGCCTGATGTAGAACTATTTCTACTGAAAGTGCGGGTTCTTGGTTTTCTTTTTAAACGAAAAATATTCCCCTCTTTAAAATCTTTGTGGTCTCTGAGAAATTTCAGATGTTTTTTCTCTTTAATGTGTTTCTTAAAAGAGTCTAGATTTTTTTGTAATTTATTTTCCATAAGAGGAAACTCTGATTGATCTTTAAAGGTTTTCACATTTAATAGCTCTTTTTCTAAATTCTGATTCGTAATCTCTAGATTTTGTGACTCGAGTTTGATTAAAAATTGCATTAATTTTGCTGAGCATTCCAATAAAATGCTGTTCCATTCTTGGGTCTGCTCTTCAGTGGTAACTTTGTCGGGTAAAGGGATCTCGGGTCTGAGCCCCCGTGGTACAAGTTTCTGATCTATGTACTGTTTCAAACTCACTAATTCCCAATATCCTTTTATCTGTTGTTGGTATAATTTCTGAATGAGGAAAAATACTTCACTCATATCATTACCAGGTACTGTGTTTAATGGATTTAGTGAGAAGACATTATTTATGTCAGTAGACCCAGGATCGGGATTTACCACGCTTGTTAAGAAAGTTGACATGATCTTAAATCGACTTAACTAGGCTCTAAATATGGTATTAAAACCAAATGAGGAACAAAACAAAAAGAGAATAAAAGTAGAGCCAAATAACAGGTACACTTTAGGAAACGGGGGGTAACCCCAAATGTAACATATCAAGAAAAACAGGAAGTGTACCTACATGTTATATATCTAAAGTACAGAGCAAAATGTGGTTCAATAATGGGTATATCAATCTCAGACAATAATGCTGAGAAGGTATACTATTTTGCAAAGTATACCACTGAAATATAATCCAAAAAGGAAAAAATAAATAAATAGTAACCGGAGAACTAGAGACTATTCAGATCAGACTAGGGGTAGAAGCATCCTTAAAAAGCCTAATAGAGGTGTGACCTTTCCAGCTAATTCAGAATCTGGGAACCACGATACCACTAAACAAACAGAGAGGGTAGAAAAATCTTCCTCATCTCCTTTTTTAGAGGAGGATTGGCCACTTCCATCAGGTGGCAGACTAAGGGATCGGAAAAAATGGGGATACAAACCAGACAAAAGAATCAACCTGACCTAACAACGAGTGATGCTAATCGAATAATAAATTTGTCGACATTCACACTTAAAACTCATCACCTTTCACTTCTTAACAAAGGTCTGTCTTTTGTACCTACCCCTAATCCCAACAAATTTGACTGGATAAAAGATACAAATCTATTTGGTAGAAAACTGGCTTTGAATGTGGTACACAAGAGAAAAAATCAAAAACTGGCCAAAGAAGCTGGTTTTTCAAACATTGATTATCAGCATTATCAAACATTATTATCCTTACTAAATGAACAGGATTTGGCTCAACCACTCACTAATCTTAAGCCAGAAAGTTGGTTCACCCCTAACCTCAAGGAAGTCTCAAGTGTAGACCTATTTATAAAAATGACCACTAATGAAATTGAATCCCTAGAGACTCCTACTAGATGTGAGGATAATTTAAGCACAGCGGAGAGAAGAGCTTTGACAGAACTTAGCCATGAACCAAATTTGGTAATCAAGGCGTCTGATAAAGGTGGTAATGTGGTCCTTTTGGATAAAAGTAATTACATTGAGATGTGCATGGAACATCTCCAAGATGAACAACATTACAGTCACCTTCCAAAGGACCCTACCACAGAATTTTTAATTGAATTAAAAAGTATTTTGGATACAGCAGAATTGGATGGTATCATTACTAGGGAAGAATATAAATTCATTATCCCTAATATGACTCCAACAATTGCCACCTTCTATTGCCTTCCCAAAATTCATAAGAATCCAATTAAACCTCCGGGCAGACCAATTATTTCAGGGAATGGCTCCATTACTGAGAGAAGCAGTCAATTTCTAGAGAAATTATTACATCCTTTGGTTATTAAACTAAAATCCTATCTTCAAGATACCAAACAAACATTGTTACTACTTGAGGACTTAGTGGTCCCTCCCTATTGTATGTTGGGTAGCTTAGACGTTGTAGCTCTCTACAACAATATTCCTCATAATATAGGTCTTTTAGCCACGTCGTACTTTCTCAATAAAACACCAGGCTTTTCAGCAGCACAAATCAATTTTATTGTCAAACTTTTGGAATTTGTACTCACTCATAACTTTTTTGTCTTTAATGGACAATATTATCTACAACTCAAAGGGACCGCGATGGGTACGGCGTGTGCTCCCAGCTACGCCAACCTATACTTGGGCTGGTGGGAGGAGAACATTTTGCCAGCTATCACCAAAGACCAGTATGACACTTGTATCTATAGCTGGCATAGATACATTGATGACATACTGGTCTTTTGGTTAGGATCTGTCGATAAATTCCAAAAACTGGTTAGAGATCTAAACAATAATACCATTGGCCTACAACTCACACATGTGATAGACTCTGAACACCTGGTATTTCTAGATCTCAACATCACAGTTTTGGAAGATGGGAAGGTAGAAACTGAACTTTTCAGGAAAGATACAGCAACCAACAGTCTACTTAACTGGACTAGTTATCATCCAGTTAAGTTAAAGTCAGGTATACCCTTTGGCCAGTATTTGCGCGCCAGGCGCAATTGTTCCACTGAAACATCTTTCCAAAGGGAAGCCAACAAATTAAGAACTATGTTTAAACAGAAAGGCTACCCAAATAGAATCCTTAAACGAGCCTACCAACGAGCACTACTAATAAATAGAAGTGAAAGCTTAAGGTCGAGTAGACCTAAGTCAGAAACGAAAATAACTCGCTGTGTAGGCACGTATGATTTATATTGGGACAAAGTACAAAAAATAATGACACACAACTGGCCAATACTTCAGCATGACATAGATCTTGCTGATAATATTGGGAATTTTCCTCAAATCACGGCACGTAGGGCAAAAAACCTGAGAGACATCTTGGTTCATAGTCATATTGAACCTATGAAACCATCCCAATCCACTTGGTTAACCCAGACTACTGGGATTTATCGCTGCGGGCATTGCAAGGCATGTAAATTCATTAAACCCACCAAAATGATAACAAGCTTTATAACAAAAAAAGAATACAAAATTAAGGAATTTATCAACTGTAGCTCTACTCGGGTGATCTATTTAATTACATGTAGCTGTGGCATCCAATATGTAGGTAAAACCTACCAGCAATTAAAACGAAGGATACTACAACACATTTGCTCTGTTACCAACTTAAATATCTCGACTCCAGTAGCAAACCATGTTCGAAATTTCCATCAGGCTGATCCAACACATCTTACATTCCAAGCATTGGAGAAATTAACCCTAAACACTAGGAAAGGGAACTTCAATAAAATACTCCTAATGAAAGAGTCTAGATGGATTTATTTTTTTAAAAACATTAGCACCTGATGGTCTGAACGAAGAGTTCAACTTTACCCCGTTCATACATTAACAAACGATGGGCCTAGCACTGAACTCAGACTACTCTGGTCCTTTTACTTTATGGCCAGCCTATTATGGACTCATTTTCTACTAATATTATATTTATAATTTTAATGCCTTTAATTTTGGTCATCTTTACCTACATAAGTACTTACCATCCTCTCTAGGCTAATGCTTTGGTGTACTAATTTGCAGTGTTTAGGCTACTATTCATTATGACAGATAACCTTTTCTCCATTATAACAACATACTCACCAATCATTTGTGTCTTTGCATACACACATATATTTTCCTTTATGATCAGATTTTTTCTTTATTGTTTCTCATCTATATTAGTTATATTGTTTGCTCTCTTTATTCTCTTAACCAGCAATATTTAGAGAAACTCGTCTATATTCATAATATCCTTCACACCTAATCTCTTCAAATATGGCTCTTTTTCTTTAATTATGATCGCCTACTAAATTTAGTCAAAGAACTTGGCAGAGTAAGGGTTAATCTACTCCCCTTGAAACGAGTTTGATTCCGTCACAACATTAACGAGGTTGCACCAATCAGGAACTTTTTTGACTAACCAATAGAAACATTTCTTCACAGATTTAAACCAGACGAAGTGTACCGACCGGTTCCCCTCTGACGAGCCAGGTCGGGCGAAACGCGCGCGTCAGGGCGTTACACAGTACTTCCCCTATGATCGGGGGTGAAGTACTTTGATCTGCAACCATGATATTTGATTCCTATCACTTCTAATTCATATTAATCAATCCTTTGAGCGTGCGTACGATTTTTTAGCACACTCAGTTAGGTAGCTTATTAGTGATAGAGTTAACTTACATTGATTTCTCATTTTCAGTGGGACTAGCGGCAGGTGCCCTTGAAGGCACAGTTTACAGCACAGCTTTAGCTTTTATCACGGGGAGTGTTAGTATAGGATTTTTCCAGCTTGCTTATAGGCACTCCTTCTATTTCTGTCTATGGTTAATTTGAGAGCTCCATTATTGTTTTCACGGCTCTCTTTTTCTTTTCATCTATTTTACTGTCTCTAGCAGGACTATAGGTAGGTGCCCTCGAAGGCACTAGTTTTACAGCTAACTATTTATCTTCAGATTCATAGTTTATCATCACACTATGTATCAGTTGAATTTAGGATAAAGTTACTCTATATTGAGCCTAACCGTTATTCTTACGGTTACCTTTATGCCTTACTCACCCCGTATGAGCGGGATGATTGTTAGTTGCCCGTACAGGCACTGAGGTCATTCACTGTTATAGCAGCAACACACAGCCAGTTTCAATATCTGGTTGCCAGTATGCACTTTTTGGATTTCTTTCTTCTAACATAGCTGCAGTAGTTGAAGCTGTCCACTAAGTTTTATCATGAACACATTGAATCTTGTCATCTATTAGTAGTTTCAGTTACATTGTTGCTAACGCATTTGGCGAGACCTACATCATCCTACTCTATATGCAAAGCTGTGCTTTCCGCTCTGTATCTTTCTATATTATCATCCAAACCATTTCTTATAACACTGGTTACAATCCCTGAACACTTGCTATAGCTGCATTAGTTGCTGATATTCATCAGCACTTCTTTTGAATTTTGGGTACAACTACCAAGTGACCCGGTGATTGCTTTCCAGTCCTGATACATAAGACTAAAACCACTGATTGAGATTTTTTTCAGATTTTTTTCATTTTTTTATTTGCACATTTATTCATAGGTAGTTATTGTAGCACTTTTTTTTTGTGTGGTCTTCACCAGTGTACACTTGTATGTTTTTGGTTTTAACATTTATTAATAAAATTTATTTATTTTTTCCTTTTTGGATTATATTTCAGTGGTATACTTTGCAAAATAGTATACCTTCTCAGCATTATTGTCTGAGATTGATATACCCATTATTGAACCACATTTTGCTCTGTACTTTAGATATATAACATGTAGGTACACTTCCTGTTTTTCTTGATAAGTTATAGGGGGGGCATACAGGAAGGGTCAGCAAGGAGCAGGACGGTAAAGTATGAGAAGAAGCTGAAAGGAGAAGGAACATCAAAGAGCAGAAAGGGTCAGCAGTGAGCTGGAAGGGACAGAAGGAGCAGAAAGGTAAAGTAGGAGAATGAGCAGAAAGGAACAGAAATGAGCATGTAGGGGCAGCAAGGAGCATGAAGGGGTAGAGAGGGTCTCACAAGGAGCAGGAAGGGGCAGAAATGAGCAGGAAGGGGCAGCAAGGAGTAGGAAGGGTCTGCAAGGAGCAGAAAGGGTCTGCAAGAGGAAGTAAGGGTCTGCAAGGAACAAGTAGGGTCTGCAAGGATCAGGAAGGATCTGCAAGTCAGGTAAGTGAGGGATGGGGGAGGCAGCCTACAGATCAGGTAAGTGAGGCATGGGGAGCAGAATACAGATCAGGTAAGTGAGGCATGGGGAGCAGAATACAGATCAGGTAAGTAAGGCATGGGGGGCAGCCTACAGATCAGGTAACTGAGGCATGGGGGCAGCCTACAGATTAGGTAAGTGGGGCATGGGGGAACAGACTACAGAACAGGTATGTGAGGGATGGGGGAAAGCCTACAGATCAGGTAAGTGAGTTATAGGGGAGGGCATACAGGAAGGGTCAGCAAGGAGCAGGAAGGTAAAGAAGGAGAAGAAGCTGAAAGGAGAAGGAACATCAAAGAGCAGAAAGGGTCAGCAGTGAGCTGGAAGGGACAGAAGGAGCAGAAAGGTAAAGTAGGAGAATGAGCAGAAAGGAACAGAAATGAACAGGAAGGGGCAGCAAGGAGCAGGAAGGGGTAGGGAGGGTCTCACAGGGAGCAGGAAGGGGCAGAAATGAGCAGGAAGGGGCAGAAAGGAGTAGGAAGGGTCTGCAAGGAGCAGTAAGGGTCTGCAAGGAGCAAGTAGGGTCTGCAAGGATTAGGAAGGGTCTACAAGGAGAAGGAAGGATCTGCAAGGAGCAGAAAGAGTCAGCAAGGGACAGGAAGGGACAGAAGGAGCACAAAGGTAAAGGAGCAGAAAGAATCAGAAGGATCACAAACGTAAAGTAGGAGAAGGAGTAGAAAGGGACAGCAAGGAACTGGAAAGGGCAGCAAGGAGCAGAAAGGGGCAGCAAGGAGCTGGAAGAGGCAGCAAGGAGCTGGAAGTGGCAGAAGACGCACAAAGGCAAAGTAGGAGAAGGAGCTGAAAGTAACAGAAATTAGCAGAAAGGGGCAGCAAGAAGCAGAAATGGTCAGCAGGAAGCAGAAAGGGGCAGCAAAGACCAGGAAGGGTCTGCAAGGAGAAGGAAGGGTCTGCAAGGAGCAGAAATGGTCAGCAAGGAGCAGAAAGGGTCAGGAAGGGACTGAAGGAGCACAAAGGTAAAGGAGCAGAATGAATCAGAAGGAGCACAAAGGTAAAGTAGGAGAAGGAGCAGAAAGGGACAGCAAGCAGGCGAGCTGGAAGGGGCAGAAGGAGTGCAAAGGTAAAGTAAGAGAAGGAGCAGAAAGAAATAGAAATGAGCAGGAAGGAGCAGCAAGAAGCAGGAAGTGGCAGCATAAAGCAGGAAGGGGCAGCAAAGAGCAGGAAGGGGCAGCAAACTGCAGGAAGGGACACCAAGGAGCAGGAAGGGGCTGCAAGAAGCAGGAAGGGGCAGCAAGAAGCAGGGAGAGTCTTCAAGGAGAAGGAAGGGTCTATAAGGAGAAGGAAGGGTCTGAAAGAAGCAGAAAGGGGCAGGAAGGGACAAAAGGAGCACAAAGGTAAAGGAGCAGAAATAATCAGAAGGAGCACAAAGGTAAAGTAGAAGAAGGAGCAGAAAGGGCCAGCAAGGAGCTGGAAAGGGCAGCATGGAGTAGAAAGGGGCAGGAAGGAGCTGGAAGGGGCAGAAGGAGCACAAAGGTAAAGTAGGAGAAGGAGCAGAAAGGAATAGAAATGAGCAGGATGGGACAGAAAGAAGCAGGAAGGGTCTGCAAGGAGCAGGAAGGGTCAGGAAAAGGTAAATTAGGAGAAGGGACAGAAATGAGCAGGAAGGGACAACAAGGAACATAAAGAGGCAGCAAGGAGCTGGAAGGGGCAGCAAGGAGTTGGAAGGGGTAGCAGGAGCACAAAGGTAAAGTAGGAGAAGGAGCAGAAAGGGTCTGCAAGGAGCAGAAAGGGATCAGAAAGAGAAAGGAGCAGAAGGGCACAAAAGAAGCAGAAAGTAGCAGAAATGTAAAGGAGCAGAAGAAGCCAAGGAGGAGAGAATACAGGGTCAGAAGGATAAGAAGACTGTGTCAAATGAAGAAGAAGAAAATGAGATTGGAGCAAGAAAGACAAGTGAAGTGATCCCTCCACTTTATTCTTGACACCACATCATAAGGCTTTGGTACCTGGGCCTGGCAGGGAAACTTTGGACCTTCTCACCTCCCCAGGTAAAAAAAAAATCTCAGTGGTAATGTGTCTTTTAATTACCAAGTGTCAGACAGCACAGAGAGCCTTTGGGTAGGGGTGTCGCTGATTGGCTAGT